TTACTAAGTTTTGCTTGGCCTCTAAGTATTCCCTATGCCCTAAACCTTGGGTACTGCCCCCACTCAGTGACGGTTGGATAATATTCATAATATAGATATAGTAGGCCCTTAATAGTAGCCCTACTATAGACTGTTACTGTATGAGGGGCAGTACCCGACCACCCAACCTAAACCCTACATAAGCCCTTAACCCAGAAAGCCCTGACGCTAAACCCTGAGCCCTTAGTTGCTCAGCCTTCCTTTGAAGATGCCCAGGCCATTCTGACAGCCTTGAGGCCTGACTTGGAACTTAGATGTCAAAATTTCGAGGTTTAGGATTTTGTTTTCAGGTCTTAGGATTGACGCTTAGGGCTTTGAGGTTCCGGGTTTTGGGGTTTAGCGTCTAGGTCTTAGGGTTTTGGGATGTAGCGTTGTTTAAGGGATTTGGGCTTCGGGCATTTGGCTTTTGTTTTTTTTCGGCATCTGTGCATGTTGACTTGAAAACAGACTGAAGGGAACCTTTTTTCGTTTCAGAAGGTGCCGCTGGGTGTTTTGTTCAGCAGAGTTGTGGTTTGCTGTGCTGCTGTATCCAGCGATTAAATAAAGAAGCCTGAATCATGACTCAATGGTATTCATTAAGGTTCCCAGTTCCCAGTATAATATTTGTGTGTGTGTGTGCATATATATATATATATATGTATATATATATATATATATATGCAAGGCCCTAGTCGAATTACTCAGGCCCGCTGTATGTTTGGAAGTTTCTGCTTAGAAATTATGAACCTCCAGCTCCTAACATGTGAAGTCTTCGTTGCCTGCTGTCAGCTGATCTTGCATCCCGGGCCGTGGCTATCGGATGATGCCTCATGCAAGGATCTGGCTTATACACCCTGACCTGATGCAGACATCGAAAGTCCGGTTTAGGGTTTAGGGTGTAGGGTTATCGAAAGTAGACAGTGTTGTAGCTCCTAGCATAAAGATGTTGGTGCCCGATCCCCAAACTCAAGTCCGCAAAGCCCAAAACTTGAACAGGCCTTTGCAGCGTCTTAGGGTTTAGGGTTTAGGGTTTTAGGGTTTAGGGTTTTAGGGTTTAGGGTTTTAGGGTTTAGGGTTTAAGGTTTAGGGTTTGGTATCTGGTGACAATTCTAACTCCAAAGCCCAAGAAATCTCCAAACCACCCGAATACCAGGCGTCGGGCACCTTGCACCTTCAACCAACCCCCCCCTTCACCCTCCCCCCCTCCCGCTTCCAAAAAACATGCTTAAACCCTAACTTCTAAACCCCTAAGCCCTAAACTCTAAACCCCAAACGGCCCTAATTACATTCTGAACTCTGCCCTAAACCCGAACCCTCAAACCCTCGCAGGAAGGCGGCCGTGAACAAGAATGAAGCATCCGCCCCTCCCTCGGGAGTTGAGGGCTCGAGGGTGTTAGGTCTAGGGTTTAGAGTTAAGTTTTCTGGCAATTTTCGGTGCTCCTTCAATAGATACGACAGGGTTCTGTGGCGGCTTCGAGTGTCGAGGTGATCTAGGGGTTTAAGGTTACAGGGAGTGGGTGGAGTTGTCAAAAATAGGGCACCTTTTGGGGTACCCTAAATATGAGGTGCCGTATTGTAATATAATAGGGACCCAAAAAGTGAGCTTGACAACCACCAAGGTGAAGAGAACATAAAGTTCAGTTGGGGCTCCAGGATTTATGTTCAGGTTTCGGCAGTCCACCCCAAAAATTCCCCTGGCCCTAAACCTTGAGGCCAGCGTCATTCTACTCAAACCGAACCGCCCCTGTGGTGTGGCAGCACATCAGCCGGTGAAGTGGATAATCTTGGCAAGAAGAAGAGGCAAATGAGCCGGTTCAGGAGTTTACAGTTCCGTAGGTTCACCGAGCTTTCGGGGAGGCGAGAGTTGGGGATTCTATTTTCGAAGTACCTCTCTGCCTGCGCCACGGCAGCCTATCACTGCGTTCGAAACCTCAGCAGGGCATGCTGTCGATGATCTCGCCCTGCCACCTGCTGGTATGACGATGTACGGCGTATGGTGCAGGGTCCATGAGTGCAACCTGTAGGACGTAGTAAGCAAAGCAGTGTTGGTTCCTGCAGGGCGCTTTCCTCCTAGCCGTGAACCCTGAGCATACAAAGCAGCGAAGACCCGCAAGTGGGTGGTTGTCAAAATTAGGGTCCCTTTTTGGGGTACCCTAAACGTAAGGTGCCGTACTATAATAGGGATCCAAAGACAACCACCCAAGTCAAAAGCTGGCAGAGGTGGAGAGACAAGATCTGCCTGATGACATCTCCATCGTAGGCAAGCTGCAAGGGATCCTGGGCTCAAGTCTGATTTTCGGGTCCCATAATACCCAGCCCGTAAATCCTGCACAGCACATTTCTAGGTCCTAGACATTCAATGTTTTGAAGCACACCACGCAATGCCCCATGACTTGGGCTCGAGCCCACAGAAACCGCCGAATAGAGCAAAGGACTTGGGTACGGCAAGAGCGTCCCAAGTTCGGGGCTTACAGGAAGACTTGCAGCAAATTAACGGCAACCCGGTAGACAATGGGCTGCAGCTCTGGCGAGATTAGTGATTTGGGACCGGAATCTCAAATCACGCACCATACCCACAAAGCAACAGTTTGATTCTTCTGATTTGGGGTTTGGGCAGAGGTCCTAGCATTGGGTTTGCAGGGCTTGGGTTTTAGCATGATACAATAGAATTGTACCATTGGTGCAGGAGTAAAGATCGGTCTTTTCAGGTTCGGGGTTAAGGCAGCAGGCCGAGATTGAGTTAGGATGTATAAGGAAATCCAGCGGCTGCCGTGACTCTTCTGTAGCGGTGTAGCACAGAAGCCTGAAAGAGTAAATGCTAATATTGGGTCTTCGGATTCCTTATTGTAGCTTTGCCATGATGCAACCCAACACCCTATTCTATTTTCAATTCCCCTGTACTAAACCGGTCTAGTACCCAATGGCCGCAACCCTTACATAAGCCTTTTCAAGGAGCCCTTATCTATAGATCAAGGGACTCTCTTCTCATGATGAAGCCCCCTATACTGGCTGACAACTTTTAGGAGCTGAATAAAGGATTGCAGTTCTGGTTCTTTCGAAGGCCAGCAGTCTACGGGCTACGCTTTGGTTGGGGTTTCGGGTTTGGTTTAGGGCTTAGGAAGCACTCCCAAAGCCTAAACTGCGAGTACAAGTGTCCTTAAACTCGAAGCTTCATTCTTCAACCCGAATTAGTTTCAAGCTTATGTCCAGAACCCTCCACCGCACGCAAAAGAAGCCCAAACAGTCGACCATCGAGCCAAAATCATCCTTCCGAATTCCCGAAAGATTCCTTCCTCAACGCAGCCCTACCAAACTCCAGACTCGCCTTAAACCTCGTAAACCCTAAACCCTAATCCCCAAACCCTAGTCTCTACCCTAAACCCTAAATCCCTAAATCCCTGAACCCTAAATCTGAAGCGCTAAACCCTACTTAAAGGATCATGGGGCTTCGCAACTACGGTTATTATTAGGGTAACTATACTTATAACTACTTATAACCCCAATTAAGGTACTTATAACCTTACTTACTAAGTCCCATGATCCTCCAAGTACCCGGCTCGTCAGGGGCAGATTCGTTTCAGCAGCTGTCCGATGACTTCGAGCGGCGACCGCTGTCAGGTCGGATTGCTTTACGGGAATCCCTAAAGTTAAGGGATCTCTAGGGGTTGCTTTAGCTTACCTTTGGTTAGTAGGGAATGGAAGAATGGTAGTAATAGTAGTTATAATTGTATCCCATTCTTCCATTCGAACCAAAGGTAAGTTAAGGGTTCCTTTAAAGCTTCCTTTGCTTTAAGGGTTCATTCAAGGGGTTCCTTTAAGGGTTGATTCCGGGAGTCCTTCAAGGGATACTGTGGCGATTTCTGTCACGGTTCCTTTTGAGGGATGCCTCTCAGGGGTCCTTTAATTTAAGGGTTCTACAAGGCATCTCCGCGAGCATCGTCTTCATGATGGCACAGTCGCAAGTACAAGAACGATCAACAGTGAAATTGGCGCTGCTATGACGGCGGAGACAGCGCGGCGCAGTGCAGCATCAGCTGCAGCACATAACGGACATCGCTGCAGGCGAGCGTTTCTTCGTGGCGATCAGTGCGGACAAAATCATACGCTGGCCTGCAAAGTAGGCGTTGCAATAAGTGAAAGCTGCTCTCAGCCGTACCCACTCAGGGTTCCGACGGTGTCGGATTTCGGGCCCTACGCAGGCTTTCGGGTTTAGGATTCAGATGAGGGTAGCGATAGTGTTTAACATGTGGCCTAGGGGTTAAGTCTAGGGCTTGGGGCTTAGGCTATATATTGTTTTGAACCTTGCGGTTAGGCTGTAGAGCTTGCGCGAATCGAGACAATACCTTGATTCTGGAGAGGTCCTTAGCCTGATTCAGGGTAGCTCGTAAATCCCAACCCCTAAACTTAGTACCAACATATATGCCTGTTGGGAGCCGACTCAGGCAGAGAGGCCGGCATCCCAACTTCAATAAAAGCGTTAGTACCTATAAAGCCTAGACTTCCCAAACCCTAAACCCTACGCTGCTTCAGGAAGGTCTACTGGGGCTTTGGGCTCAGGTCACTTGTCTGCGGAGATATGTCTTAGTTCAAAAGCGTTCTGCCTAGCGTGTTCACATGGCCACCCCCTCGTAAAGGTACTGGTGGGGGGGGGGTTACTCTGAGTGGTACCTATTTCCGCGGTTTCGTTTGGGAGAGTGGGGGGGTCCCGATAAAAATAGGTACCGGGGGCTACTGGGACAGTGCATCATGGCAGGTTGTGCGATGCGGAGCTGCGACTTGTTTCTGTCATGTGGCCGTCGGCTGCTTAAGGTAACTGGTTCATGGCTTCTGCTAATTTCGATTCCACTTCGGCAACAGTCAGAAGCAGACGACATAATTGATATAGGAATACAGGCTTGTCGGGTGCGATTGAGCAACAATACAGGCATAAGCTTCGGATATCATCGGTCCACCAGCATTTATACTAGAGTTTTCAGCACGGCATGGCTTGGCGAGTGGCCGTGACGGGGACCCGCAAAAGCGGGCCTCAAGCTGGGAATGCCATCTGCCCCTCGTCGAAACACAGAGAGACGGAGAGTGAGAGAGAGCGAAGGAGACAGAGACATACGGAGACAATCCCAAACCTTTGCCGAGTTTCCTACATTGCGGTTGCCGATAACAAGACCTTCCGATCCTGGACATCTGCCTCCGACTATGCTCTGAAGAAGGGGCTGGAGGCTGGGGGGTGCGGGTGGTGGGTGTTCTTGCTTCCCTTCCCTTCCCTCGCCTTCCCCTCCCTTCCCTTCCCTTCCCTTCCCTTCCCTTGCGCGAGGACCCGCCTTACTATGACAAGTTCTTCTTCGCCGACGGCACTCCCAAGAAGCAGGCTTGCCGGGTGCTTCTTTTCTTTTCGACTGGCAGAGCCCACTCCTACCCGATTCGGGTTCGTTCGTCGTTCCAAAACTTACTCATGAGCCCCGATCGTTTCCAAACTTATCGCATGATCAGACTTTAGCCGATGATCGCTTATGCCCTGAGCCCCGCCAAAAAAAACACAGACATTCCTAACCCGGACGAGTCGTGGCAGGATGCAGCTGACCATCTGGGCGAGTCGAAGGCGAGCCCTTTTTACTTTGCTTCGAGGGGTTCGGGGATTGTGGATTCCGGGCTGAATTTCGGTTTCAGGCTTTCGGGTTTTCGCTTGGGTGATTGCAAGCAAGTGCCCCGGCTTCCCCGAACCGACCACATAACCCCCCTTCTCCCCTCCTAACCTGGACTTGTCGTGGCAGGATGCAGCTGGCCAGCCGGGCGATTCTAAGGTGGGCCCTCTTTACTTTGCTTTGAGGGTTTCGGGGGCTGTGGGTTCCGGGCTTGACTTTGATTTCGGGCTTTCGGGTTTTCGCTTTGGGTGAGTCCAAGCGAGAGTGCATGACGACGACCCACACATTGCACATGTCCCTCCTGTGCAGCCGCTTTGGGAGTAGTTTGAGTCGGAGCCACTGTGTTGTGAGCCGATGGTTTACTTGATGCCAGGCAACATCGGTGCCGCATGCTGGGACCTCTGAGGTGCGCCTACTCAGGGAGTGTTGTGAGGGGTTGTGGGGGTTGGGGTCCTGGGTTCTGGAGGGTGCCTTTTCGCATAGGTGGCGACGGTAGTGCCGTGCAGGATCAGCTTTGAAGCCTCCTTTTTGCCTGCTCCCAGGTCATGGATCCAGCGGGCGATGGTGTACAAGATCCTGAGGTGGTTGGGATTGTCCGGTTTGTTTTCCTAGTTCGGGCTGGGGTTTCTATTGGACGTGGTGACAGTAGTGCTGTGCATGTTCTGTTAGTGCTGTGCCGGCATGTGCTGAAGTGCTGCAGGATCACATGCCGTTGTAAGTGCATTGGATGAGAACCGGAAGCGCATGTGGACCAAGCTTGCTTGATTCGATTATCAGTACGATTGCCTATCAATCCTTTAGGTCTTAGAAACATCAGCTCGACACATTCGGAGCCTTCCCACAGGGTTATTGCATTCTGGGGCTTTGGATGGGCCTTTGATCGACTGGACTCCTACTCCTGGCATCACCTGGCCGGCTTTTGCTTTACCTGGAGTGTGACCTGGGGACTTTCTGGTCTGGCTTGTTGGCTCGGGGGCTTACCTGGCTAGTGCTGACGGAGATCCAGCTGGTTGGGGACTTACCTGGCTAGTGCTGGGGCGGAGATCCAGCACTTACCTGGCTAGTGTTGGGGCGAAGATCCAGCAGCATGGAGGGCCCGAATGGCCCTATGGAGCGTTGGACTTATGGTCCGCTTCAGCGGGTTCCCGGCAGGTTCGAGGTGACGCAGCTGGTCAACGGCGAAGAGATCATGGTGTTTGGCATTCCGGCAGATGCCACGTTGACCAGCTGCTGGGCTTACACATAGACATTGTATAGATTTTTGCATGGATTGGCTGATGTGTGTTCATGTATCTAAAAGCACAGGAACCTATAAGCACTTAATAAAACCGGCATCCGAGGTCTCTTGGAGGAAGCCACGACGCCAGGTTGCGATCGTCGTGTGCTGCGGGCAGTCGCCATCGCTGTCGCCGTTGAGGAGACGGGCGAGGTGCTGGGCAGCGACGAGGAGGACGATGACACGAAGAAAGACGACGACAAGAAGAAGGACGACGACACCGACCCAGATGATGACAAGAAGAAGGACGATGACAGCGAGGATCCCCCGGCCAAGAGGCTTAAGCTGGACGATGACAGGAAGAAAGATGATGACTCGAAGAAGGACGATGACAGCAGGAACGGTGATGACAAGAAGATGGACAGCGACAGCAAGAAAGATGATGACTCGAAGAAGGACAACAACAGCGAGACGTCATCATCGTCATAGTCATCGGCTCGTTGGATTTCCCGTGCTGCAGGTCTGAGAAAGTGAGAGCAGCCGGTGTAACATAGCACAACACATCAACACACACACACACACACACACACACACCAGCAGCAGCATCACAGCATAGAGCAACATAGCACAGCAGCAACACACAGCACGGAGGCGGCACACACACATAGCAGCACAACCGCACAGCAGAACACAGCACAGAGCAAGTGAGACCCACCGAGGGGTGAGGTTCTGATCGGATTGTGCAGGGGCACCGGGCTTGTAGCTATAGGGTGGCAGCAGTATAGATATACATCCTAGGCATTGGCCGGGCTGTGGACTTTTGCTGTTCTGTGGTGCACAATCCGTGAGCCGATCGCGCGAGGATGGATCGGAAACGATGGTTGTTCGTGGTTTCACTTGGCTAGGGTTTGGGCTACCGGGTTTGGTTTGGGCTGTGGAGTTTGGGCTTTAGGGATTGGAGTGTGGCCGAAACCTGGAACCCCAAAGCCCACACCCTGAACCCTACAACCCCAAACACCAAACCCCGAATCCCAACCCCGCCCGAAACCACAGAAGCCCAAAGCCCGAACCCCGACCCCGCCCGAACCACAAACTTCGAACCCAAACCCGGAACCCCAAAGCCCGAACCTCGACCCCACCCGAACCCACACCCGAAGCCCAAAACCTAAGCCTCAAAGCCCCATCAAGCCCCCAAACCCCTTGTCCATTCCCGCTGCCTGAAGCCATCCCGAACTCCCCTTTAAGCTCCCTTGTCTTGCAGGTTGTCGCTTCTTCCGTGGTGCCGATAGCCTGGGCCTTGGCATCACTCGTCTAGCCTCCTTGCTGCCCTTTTGCTCCCCCTGCCTTCCTTAGGTCCCTGCACCGGATGATGCCAAGGCCGGGGTCCTTTGCTCTTGTTGTGCGACCGTTGGCATCTTCTCTCCCGGTCGGTCTGTTCCTCTTGATTGCCTTCCTTTGTGCCACAACCTTGGTCAGGCCCCAGCACAGCCTGCTTCGTCTTCCGCCTGGGTCCTGGGCTCTCGCTTGTGTCTTGTCGTTGGACTCCATGTTTTCTCACCTCCACCACCTTAGGTCCCTGGTCTGCAGCCTTCCGATGACCTTCCGGCGGGCGCCGGGGCCTTGAGCCTTTCCACTATGATGCGGCGGTCAGCTACACTAAGCCATCCTTGGTTGCAGGTGACTCCTCAAGTCCTGGATTCAATGGAGGCTGGTTCGTTGGAGCTGGGCTCGATGCGGCTAGGATATGCTGGGATGCATCGTGCCTAGGTCGCTGGAGCTCCCGATGATAGACAGGCCGTGCCCATTGTCGTTGGTCTTCTTGATTGTCCGCTTGCTTCGCATTGCCTAGGTCGCTGATGCCCCGGAGCCTTCTTCTTCGAGGGTGCCACTTGTCTGGTCCTCGGATGTCCTTGGGCATCCCGGCACAGCTTCGCAGCCTGGATCATGCCATCGGTCAGGACGCCCTGGAGCCCGTGTTGCCATCGACTTTGGCGGCGCCTTGCCTCAAACTGGGGGACCACCTAGCTGGCACCTGTCTCGGCTTGTTCCCTTGTTGCAGGTCTCTGACGTGCTGCTTGCCCGGAGTAGTGAGGAGGCCGGCTTGTTCCCTTGTTGGACTTGGATGAGCCCACCTCCTGTTGCAGGCTTTGGGTGCTCAAGTTGGTGATCCCACGACCGAGGACAAGGTCCTTGCTGTGCCGGGGCTTGAACGTTCTAGTGACTCTAGTGACTCTAGTGCTTGGCCGATGCAGGCTCCCTCCTTGAACTTTCCCGGTGACGAGGCGGGGATCGCGGCTCCAGCACTGAGGATACTACGTGCGGCAATGTGTTGAATGCTTGGGCTTGTCGTCTTGGGCAATGCTGCAGTGCGATCGGTCCAAGCTCCGCTGCACAGCCTGTTTCCTGCAGGCTGATGGTGCCGTGACACAGAACGAGGCTGGGCACTGGGCACAGCTGTTGGGCTTGAACCATCGAGCTTGGTGTCGGGGGTAGCTTGGGTTTGCCAGTGACATGCCTTTGCCGGACCGACCGTGTCTGTGTGCGTGTGTGTGTATGTGTGTCTGTGTGTGCCAGGCTCCTGCAATCCCGATGGGGGCGCTTGAGCCAGCCGTCCCTGTGCATCCTGTCGTGGCCTCGGGGTCACTGGCTCATCGCGACTGCGGTCGGTCTCCTAGCTTGAGCCAGGACATGCAGAACTTGGGCTTGGCTGTGACTCTGGACAAGGAACTCGGGTGTCGTGATCGTTGCTCACGGGTTCACTAGCCTGGCCTGTGCCAGGATCAGCGGAGCTCGGAGATGCCTCTGGACAAGCAGGTGGGCGACTGAGCCATAGGATCACGGTTTGGGGTTGCCCTGTGTTTATGCCTTCTGCACTTTGAGATCTCGCTGCGGTTGCATTCCTATCTGCTTGCATCACTCATAAGCCTCTCAGTACGAGCATCTTGGCGCAGCCACTGGCTGTCGATCTGCACTTCGGCCCTGACCTTCTGTCGTCTGTCCTTCACCAGCTGGACCGTCTTCCTGGAGCATACCCTCGGGCAACGACATGGCTGCACAGGACACTGGACTCAGAACTTCGACACCAGTGACATCGGGTTCATCACCGTTACCGGAGGGCATCTACACGTGGAGTCCAATCTACAAGTTCACTGATTGGAAGCCGACCCAGATCGCACCCCCGGAAGTGCCGGCCGTGCTGCACCGTACTCTCCGTCGGGCTCGTCACCTTTGCCAGAGGGCATCTACACGTGGAGCCCCATCTACAAGTACACCGATTGGAGGCCGAGTTCGGATCGCAAGCGTGGGCGGCCAGCGGCTACTGAGGAAGTGAACCACGGGCGGCCAGCGGCTACTGAGGAAGTCCCAGATCGCATCCGTAAGCCTATCACTGTGTGTTCCACACCTCCTCGGCAAGTCGGCCGTGCTGCACCCTACTCTCCCTTGAAGCATTCACGGGCAAAGCCTCATGTCAAGGAGAGCACTTCAGGGAAGCCAGGTGTTGAAACCGATGCTCGTGCACTTTCAAGCTAGATCTCACCTGCTCGCGAGGTTCTAGGGGGACGGGCCTCGGGTGAAAAGTATGGTGTGCCCGAGATTGCTTGCACTGCACTGTCTCTGTTTTTTTTTGATGCTCGCGGCCATTGACTTTATGATTCCGCTGCAGGCAGAGGCGGCGCTACGTGTGCCGACGGAGGCGCCGGTTTGGTCTTTCTGTTAGTGTTTCGGATCAAGTGCTTTGTGTGTGGACGAGGCTCCAGCTGCATGCTCGGAACTGGCGAGCCCGAAGCAGGACATGCAGGCCGGGAGTGCGGTCTCGTGGTGTCCTTCTTAAGCGGCAGGATTACGGATCGGGCTGCCATGAATCATGGCCCTTCTCGCAGGCGGATGAGCAAGCAACGGCGACAGTGCCCATGGAGGCACAGCACTGGTGATCCTGGTCGTTTGGTCTATCGGCATGTGTGTTTGCGAAGGGTCTTGACTCACTTTTGTTGTGTGTGTCTGTTCGGACGAGGCTCCAGCTGCATCCTCGGAAATGGTGAGCCCGAAGCAGGAAATGCAGGCCGGGAGTGGTAAAGCTCACTGGGTACTGGGATCGGGGTCCACTCAACTCTTCCTACTATAGAAGCTAAGAAAGCTACTATAATGGCGGTCTGGGCCGGGGTTCATCGGTAGCCGGATTGGGGTAGCTCCTAGGTATCCCTTATACAGCTGATACTTAGGTGTTATTTCTGGGTTCCTTGGCATGACAGCAAGCTTTCGGGAGAGGCATAAATAGGTACTGGGCTAGGGGTCCACTCCACTCTTCCTACTATAGAAGCTAAGAAAGCTACCATAATGGCGGTCTGGGCCGGTACCTATTTCTGGGGTTTTACGGTAGCCCTTGGGGTGGCTCCTAGGTATCCTTTATACAGGTAATACCTAGGCGGACCTAGGCGTTCCTTGGTCTTCCTTTAAAAGCATCCAGTAAGGCTTCGGGAGAGGCATAAATAGGTACTGGGCTAGGGGTCCACTCCACTCTTCCTACTATAGAAGCTAAGAAAGCTACCATCATGGCGGTCTGGGCCGGTACCTATTTCTGGGGTTGAACGGTAGCCGGATTGGGGTAGCTCCTAGGTATCCCTTATACAGGTAATACCTAGGCGGGGACCTAGGCGTTCCTTGGTATTCCTTTAAGATAAAGCATCCAGTAAGGCTTCGGGAGAGGCATAAATAGGTACTGGGCTAGGGGTCCACTCCACTCTTCCTACTATAGAAGCTAAGAAAGCTACCATCATGGCGGTCTGGGCCGGTACCTATTTCTGGGGTTGAACGGTAGCCGGATTGGGGTAGCTCCTAGGTATCCCTTATACAGGTAATACCTAGGCGGGGACCTAGGCGTTCCTTGGTATTCCTTTAAGATAAAGCATCCAGTAAGGCTTCGGGAGAGGCATAAATAGGTACTGGGCTAGGGGTCCACTCCACTCTTCCTACTATAGAAGCTAAGAAAGCTACCATCATGGCGGTCTGGGCCGGTACCTATTTCTGGGTTGTAACGGTAGCCATTGGGGTAGCTCCTAGGTATCCCTTATACAGGTAATACCTAGGCGGACCTAGGCGTTCCTTGGTATTCCTTTAAGATAAAGCATCCACTAAGGCTTTGGGAGAGGCATAAATAGGTACTGGGCTAGGGGTCCACTCCACTCTTCCTACTATAGAAGCTAAGAAAACCTGCACACCCGAGCCTCGGACCCGTACCTATTTCCAGGCGTCTTCCCTATCATCCAAGCCGCCTCAGGTGGTCGATGTCCTTGCGCTCAACAAGCCGCGGCGCCCTTTCGAGGTTTGGTGGGATTCCATGCACAGCTATGCCCTGGACCACAAAAAGTCAGAATTGCTGCGTGCTTTGTCTCTAGGCCAGAACAGTTCACATTGCAAACTCGAGGGTTCGCATGCTCTGTAGACAACTGCTCACATGATCCAACCGCTCGGGGAACCGAGGAGAGAGGCTGCGACGTGCATTAGGCAGAGACTTTTCCTAACACTTTCCACGACAAGCCGAAGCGAATACGTTGACATTGCCGTCGCTGAGTTCGTGGCAGTGATGCGCTACTACTCCTCCGGAGAAGTCAGACCATTCCTATCCCTCTCGTCCCCAGCGAAGTCAGCCTGGCTAGTGCAGGAACCGCATCTTTTCTTGGAGAGAGCCAAACAAAATGTGTCTTTGCAGCCTTGGTTGCCGCATGCTTCAGCATATCTGGACTCCCCGGGAACTGCGCCTTCCCCCTTGGACGAGGAGGAGAAGACCCTCTTGTCCATGCTTCTGCATTACTTTGCTTGGGATGGGTGGTCCCAGGACTTTTCGCAGACCCGTCTGAGTGAGCTAGGCCTGTTGCTTGAGCCGCCAACAAATGCCGTGGCAGCTGTGCCTGATGCTGCCGGTCAGAGAACAGTCAAGGCAGAGCAAGCAGGAGTGCCAGTGAAGCGAGAGCGATCTGTAGCCAGTGCAGTGAAGGCAGAGCAGGCAGGAGTGCCAGTGAAGCGAGAGCAATCCGTGGCCGGTGTAAGTGCACCTGCCAAGAAGCCCAAAGTCTCGATGGGATCCCTCAGCAGCTGCCGTGAGCTTGACAAGCTGCTGGCCAAGGATCAGCCCGAGCAGCCCCTCAGCAGGAACATGCTTAACTTCGTGCAAGTACTCCGAGGTATCCTAGGAGCTGGCTACTCCACCATGGGAGACAGCTGGATTGGCAAGATCGCGGTCGTCAACTGTGGCGAGGAGGCTTTCTCGCGATGCTTGAAAGAGCAGTTCCAGGCAACGTGCCTGCTAGGGCTTCTCGAGAGTAGCTCGCACTGGGCTTTGCTTGCTGTGGACAATCGCAAGAGAGATGCTCCGGTAGCTTGTGTTTACAGCGGGATCACCGATTCTGTTTGCGAAGACCATGCCCTCAGCTTCATCACGCATTTGGTTGAGTTCGATTGGCTAGATCGAGAAGCTTCTTTGAAGCGAGCGGCCGTGCCTCCTCAGGGTGACGGCTGGAGCTGTGGGCACCGCTGCATCCTGGCTGCGGATGCTGTCTTTTGCTCGTTGTTCAAGGACGAGCCTTTGCCCTGCTCGTTGCACGAGTCGCACATCAGCAGCAAGCTCATTGACGCACTGGTGGGTGTAAGGAAGCATCCGAAGAGAGACCCAGGGCATAGCAGCACGGCTGGGGCGGCTAGGGCAACATCAGCAGCCGAGAGTGCTGCTCCAGAGGAGGCTCCTCCTGCTCCCAGTACTCCACCCCGGAAGCGAAAGCCCAACTTCGATGCAGCATCCCCGGCAGCTGACTCACAGGCCAGCACCCCCAGACCTCTGGTTTCTCGCTCTACTGGTTCCAAGGCAGGTCCATCGGGCACCAAAGAGAAGCCTAAGAAGCTCAAGAAGGACGAGAAGGCACGGCTGGCGGAAGGCACGGAGATGGCCAAGGCTGCTGGTCTCACGCACAGCAAATTTCAGAAGGAGCACTACCAGGAGGACGTCGAGCCTGTGGGCGGGCACTGGCATGTCTTCCTCAAAGGTGTCCTGCAGCCGCAACTAGTGCTGACGTGCAGGGTGTGCATGAGGCTTCGGCAAGACATACTCGCACAGCCGCCGCCAGGGTCGGACCAGCAGATCGTGCCGGTCCCTGCCGAGGAGCGCGAGCCAGTTCTAGGGCCATCTGTGTCGAAGAGGGGCCGGCCTCGGAAGTCAGAGCTAGTAGAAGACCGCTGGAATCTCCACGTCTTCGTGCGACTGCATCGTGCCGACATCTACTTCCAGACGCAGGATAGCTTCAAGGCCCAGGTTTTCACCTATCACTGCCGACCCTGCAATCGGAACATCTCCTTTCAGAGTCAAACCAATCAGGAGAAGGTGCACCGGCACGAACGTGGAGTCTTTCACCAACGAGGACTCCTACGACTCGGCATGGTTGCAGCTCCCCCTGAGGAGGTGGAGGCTGTGGAGGCTGAGCAGGCCCAGATCGTCCTAGCCTCGCAGGAATGCCAAGGTGTCTCTTCGAGCGACAACACAATGCCGCTGCACCCGATCCGTGAAAGCTTGCTGAACTGGGCTTGTGCAGGCCAGCCATCCACCATGTATGCTGAGGGCGAGAAGGACCCTTTGGACCGCATCGTTTTCCGATTCCAGGAAGGGGTTGTCTGGGCACAAAGCAGGAAGTGCAGCGGCCGACATGACGGGAGCGAGGGCTGCTGTGGCGATTGCCGGAAGATGGCCGGAAATCGGGACATGCATCGGCACGTCTGTCGCATGTCCTACCTGGTGGACTTGTGCACGCTGGCTCACAAGCTATCGCATTGCACGGAGGCTGAGAGCCAGGACTTCGTGAAGGTCATAGAGGCCCGGGAGTACATGAAGGCCGGATACGCCGGTGACGACTTGAGCAAGTTTCTCAGGAAGAAGTCCCGGCTCGAGCAGGTGCGATCCATCACCCACAAGTTTGTGTGCATTCCAGCCTGGCGGCTGGGCCCCTCCCTGAAGTCACTGATCAACCATTGGCTGCCGAGCACACCGACATTCTGTGCAAGCGATGTGGAGTCCTCTGCACACTCGTGCTTGGTGCAGCAGTTGTCTACGGCGGTGCGGGATGGCCGCTGCCGGACAACCGACATAGAGCTGGCAGCTAAGATAGCCGCCGGCGGCCTTCGGGGCGATGCTTTGGTGCAGGGGCTAGTCACCTCGTTCCTGTACACGTTCCGGACTGATCTAGAGACCAGACGTTACAAGACCACGAGCCGCTTCCTGAGCGCCATGGGTGCCACAGAAGAGGCCCTCCTGACACTAGGCCATTCTGAGGACATGAAGGAGCTCCTACAAAGGTTCGGCGTGAATCGCCGAGCCTTGCCGACCTCCCGTGTGCTGGACCCCGTGCTTCCGCAGCCGTTCCTCAGCTTGCAGTCCACGGAGCAATTGACCCGGGCCATCACATGCATCAGTACTCATTTGAAGCTTGGCTTGGAGCACAGGCCCTTCCTGATGTTCGATGAAACCGTCATGGAGGCTAACTTCGAGTTGATGAGGCTTTCGCCTCAGGATGACGAGAAGTACATAGGAGGCTATTGGCACCGATGTGCCGAGGAATCCTATGCGGTTCTAGATCCAGCGACCCACAACAAGAGCAATCTCCCGAGGGACAAGCTCTCGCGCCTGGCCCTCTGCTGTCTGCTCAAAAGAACCGACAGTAACAGGTTTGCTATGTGCTGTGCCATGGTGCCTCGCCCGAAAGGGCAAAGCACCGCTGCAGAAATGCTAACAGCAGTCTGCCAAGTCTTGGACACAGCCACGAGCTGCCGGGGTGGAATCCCACCCCAAGGAACGGTTTCAGACGCAGCGCCTTGCAATAGCATGGTGATCCGTGCATTCGTGGGGCAACTCCCGGAGCAGGCGATGAGGGCTCACGCCTTTCTCAAGGAGTGCACAGTGTCGAGGATGGGCTTGTCATTTTGGCCGTATGCTCTGGTGCGACACGGGGAGCAACAACACTTGATCACCTCATTCTTGGGTGGCCTGCACGTGCAAAAGCGCTTCGGATTGCAGTGTCAGTCCGGATGCAAGAAGGTCGTACTGGGCTCCCTCTTCGTCGAAGTGTCGAACATGCTGGGATTCGGCCTCCCCCCCAGGGCTTACACCCTGCACAGCCCCATGTCGGATCGGGACAGTGCGTGTCGGATGGCCCCCTGTTACATCGGCCGGACGTGGATGGGCCTGGGGACCCACCTCTATGCTCTGATGGGAGGTCTCATCGCATCGTGCACGGTGGCATCGGCAGCTTTCTCCAAAAAAGAACTTGTGCTGAATGCATTCACATTGCATTTCTGGTGTGTCCTGCACGCCGCTGGCAACATGCATGTCTACAAAAAGTCCTGGCAGCAGCACTCCATCTCACTCACGACATTGAGAAACATTTCTCGAATGGCCGCAGGTTCTGTGGCGACCGGGCTCACAGGCCTAGAGCCTGCTGCGTTGCAGGAAGGACGAATCGAGCACCATTTTAGCCTCATCAAACGACATGTGCCTGGGGCCGCCACTTTGAAAGATTTGATTTTGGGGACAGCTAGAGAGCACGGCCGACAGGCTTCATTGCTGCGGGCGAGGTCATGCGAGGAGCTGGCAACCACTTTCACGACGCAACCTCGAGATCCGATCAGTCTTGAAGAGCTGACAAAACTTGGGAAACAGGCGCTGGCCGCAGCGATACAGCTTCAATCCTGGATCTCCACAGACCTCACCACCTCCGAGTGCTACGACCAGCTCCACACTTTCTGGCATCGCAAGAACGGTGCCCAGCTGTTTGGAGAGTGCGAGCCCGACAAGCCCATCGACGAAGAGGAGTCGGACGGAGAGGAGGACATGACACCAGATGCGGTTGAGATCACGCCAGCAGCTGAAAACCAGGATCCGCCTGCCGAGCTCTCTCAGGATGTGGCATGCCTCACCCGTGTGCAAGGGCGTGCAGCAGTCATCGAGACCTTGGGCAAGACTTTGGATAACCTTGCAGACCCGAATGGCAAGGCCGAGGAGTCCGATCATGACGAGCCGGAGGCCAAGCTGGATCAGAAGACTCTGGATGAGCTGTTGCCAGCTGACCCCGAAGACGATGCTGAAGCCAAGACCCCCAAAACTGTCATCCAGCTTCTGCAACAGGTGTCGAAGGATGGCGGGGCAGAGTTCGCCTTGGACGAGAAGTCCGGCCAAGGAGTCAAGGCATGTCTTCGGCGAGTCGAGGCCATGATTGGGGGCATCCGGAGATTCACGAGGATGGTTCGGCTGGAGGAGAACTTGCTTTCCTTGTCTGTGCTCGAACCTTGGGCGTACATAGAAATATTTTTAGTTTTTGGTTATTACAACTACAACCCCTAAGAGACAGCTAGAATTATAATTTTTGCTAGGGTTCTAAGTTCAGTATAGGAACGATCCCAGACACCAATGAACGAGCACAACGCCCGCATGCATGAGCTGGGCCTGGCACGTCGTGCCCATGGCCTGTGTCAGCAGCGAATCTCACGTGCTGAAGCTTGGTCCAAAAGCCAGGCTCTGTTCATGGACAAGATCAAGGCTCAGAACCCCAAGGTGACAGAAGGCGACCCGGGCATCACTGCACCCACAAGCTATCGGAACGGCAAGAACCACAAGGAGCCACAGGTGTTGCTTTTGCATGGTGGGTCGCCGGAACCAAGTGAGCTTCGTCTCGCCGTCGTTCTGGCAATCTTTCGAGGCAGCATCGTCCGCAAGCAGGGCTCGCCGCAGCTTGGCCAAATTCGTGTCTCGAAGCCTGCCGCCGATGACCTTCCTTGCTCATGCACGAGAGTCGTGCATGTCGCACCCTTGCAGTACAATCCTGCCACCGGCGCCTGGGTCACATCGTGCATCGAGCAGCCTCTCGTCTTGGACCCCGTGAACTCCATCTACGGCGAGGTTGCTACGGAGCAGGTGCATGCATCCCAGACACGCTTGCATGTGGTTTTGTCTCCTGCCTCGGAGTTGGCACTCAGGAAAATCAAGAGTGGGCAGATTCCATTCCCCGCAGCCGTGCCCAAGCTATCCGAGACAGCAGGGTCAGCAGCAGCTCCGCCGCCGCCGGAGCCCAAGGAGATGAGCTTCGATGCCACCAGCTTCCCTCGGAGAAAGCTGGCCGAGAATGTATCCTTGTTCATGGGTGGCCTCCGAAATGCGTATCAGGAGAAAGGCTGGGACATTGTGGCATCAGATGGATCGCTTATGCTCGGCAAGGAGAAATGGCAGTGGGACAAGGTGGTCTCAAGGGTCCCCGCTTATTTCCTGCATACTCTCAAGGAATATGTGGGCTTCAAGTTCAGCAGCCAAGTTCACAATGTGCTGATTCAGCACATGCCCAAGAGAGCCTTGGATTCATTGGAAAAGGCTGTGTCCATTTGAAACATCCCACACGTGATCTCACAGCAGCTAGGTGAATACTCCAAGAAGAACGTTCTCAACTGGCTGAAGCAGGTCGTTAGCCTTGCACCGCAGGTCGTGACACTGAAGCCGTAGAGCTCGCTTCTTTACCCTAAGGCCCTAAGGCATCCTCCAAAGCCGAACCCTAACCGTCGTGCACTTACTAGCCGCTAGCCCGATGGGAATGATTGGCCTGCGTTTGGGGTTTGAACGTAGTCCTCAGACCTGTGGCGCAGTGGCTCTGTACAGACGGACGTTCCAGGGAGCAGCAACCGGGGGCAAAAAAATCCGAAGAGCCATCATTGAGTGCGCAGGGTGTGCAATCGCATGTTGCACGGAGTCCTCGAGCTGTCGTCGCAGTCGTGACTTGTCTTATCCGTGTAGGAACAGTCCTCCGAGTACACCCGGACCCCCCCCCTATCTCAAGCCACCGTCGTAATAGGTACCGGTACCTATTTCCGGCCCCCCCTATCGCTCGACCACACCCCCCCCCCGCGAGGGGGTAGCCATGTGTTCACTTTGTCCTGCTTCATTGTCTCCTTCTGTGGCTGCTATTTCTCCTCATCCGGCTACCGTTCCTGCCGTTGACATCTTACATTGCAGCCAGACCGCGAGTTTAAGGCCAGTGCCCGGCCCGGAAGCGCAGCTGTCAAACAGATCATTCGTTTCAAAGCGAGCCACATTTCGAGCTCTCTTTTTTATCCTCTGAAGAAGAAGTTGCGACAGTTCGTAAGTCTTCCACCAGTAGTACAGTTTACATTAACCAGGCATTGCAAACAGCACCTGCCCTGAGCCTCTTGCCGAATGTAGGGAGGACTTTTTTGGGCCCGGTTGTTGAAGAAGAGAGTTCAGGGCTTGACGGTAGGGCTTGAGGTTCCCTTAAAGGGTGCAATAGGGTACTATAACAGGGTTCCCTAAAAAAGGTTCAAGGTTATGTCAGTTGGGAGGTAACTCCAGGTAGGGTCAAGCGTTTAGGATGTAAGGTGAGACTTGTTGATTCAGGTTGTTAGGCTTGGAACCAAAGTAAGGGTTTGAAGGTTTCGATATCGAAGCTTCAGCATTAAGTCACCATCTTGCCTTCACAAGTATAGAACAGTATGCGCAAGGCTACTCAGCTCTATTTGCCTGGAACCTCGAATAGGGTTCGGGGTATACTATAGCTTAATCAGGAATCAGGAACCCCCAAACTAGTATAGGTAATTACTTAGACCCCCTATATTCATCCTTATAGTAGCCCTTATAGACCCTTTAAAAGAGCCCTATTCTAATTGTATAAGTAATTAGTTAGGCCCCCATATTTCCAGAGACTCCAATATCCCTTATAAAGAATCTTCCTTAAATCAGATTAGGATCCTATTTTCACTTAAGGTATATTCCTTAATTCCGTTATAGAATCTTTATAGATCCCTTTAAGGAACCGTTAAAGGAACCCTCAGGTATATTGGAGTCTTAAGAGCCCGAAGCCCGTCATCCCTCAGATCCTGCCGGAGGCTCAGAGGACTCTGCCAGGTTCTGGCTGGAGAAGCTGAAGGCATCCGGTTTCCCATACCTTAAGCCGGAATAACCTACCTTTTTTAAGGACTCCTGTAAGGAATTCATCATAAGGGACCCCAGAAACGTAGGTTATTCCGGCTTAAGGTAGCCTTAACCCTGAAGAACCTACCTTTTTAGGGTTCCCTTTCATGATTTCCTTATATAAGCCCTTACAAAGATAGGTTCTTCGGGGTCAAGGTAGGGTTTAGGGATGGTTAGGGTTCAGGGTTTCGAGTTTTTGACGGCATCCACCCCAAAACCTGGATAAACCCTAAACAGGGTTCAGGATTTACTGTACTGCCTGGTGCTTAGTAGGGAATGGGGGAATGGATCCCTATAGTAGTCCCCAATAGTAATAGTAGTCTCCATAATCCATTCCCCCATTCCCTACTAAGAACCAGGCAGCCGAACCCTGGATAACATCCTAAACAGGGATCCACACCAAACCCTGGATAATATAGGGGCTTAAGTTAAGTGATTACCAAGACTATTTTGAGGCCTCCTTATTATAAGCACAATATGATGGGCCCCCAAAACCCTAAACCGCCACACCCGTCAGCATCAAGAGCTTGATGGGTTCAGGGTTTCGGGCTGTTGAGGGTTTAGGATGGGAGAGAGTCATGAGTAGGCTGGCATGTTTTACCTCGCGTTTAGGGTTCAAGGTTCAGCGTGTACGAGTTTCAGGAATGTAGCCGTGTGCAGAATGCGAGTCCGGTGCTAGCAGCACTACTGTGGTAACCAGTCCGTTTGCAATCATTTCAGCCTTCGAATTCTGCATCATCGTCATTGTACTCACCAGCCAAGAGTTTGGCCTGCCACTCATTGCAATTAAACTAGAAATATAACCTCGGCTTTTGACAACATCAGCCATCACTCGAGTCTTTAATCACTGCGGGCCGCGACTTGAATCCTTCCTGCTGCTCTCCATGATTGTTGCCAGCACAGTAAACGTCTCTATTGCTGACTCCTCCTGGATCCAAGCTTTTGGAGAGAGGTATCTTACAGGGGTCGCCGTAATCCGCGGAAGTCTTTGCCCGGACACTCGACTGCTATCTCGGTGCTCTCACACAGCTTTGCTATGATGAGGAAGAAACATGGCTACAAAGTGGAGGAGTGCCTTGCTGTACGCGGATGATTTCATCCTGCTTACGACATCGCATGCTCAAGCGACCAGAATGCTCCAACAAGTCATTGCGACTTTTGGTGCAATCGACCTCAAACTGTCCTTGAAGAAGTGTAAATTCATTGCTTCCTCAAACCTCCCGAAACGCCCGATCTATGCGGCCGATGTTTCAATCCCCCAAGTCGGCCAACCCTAAACCCTATCAACTCTAGCCCCTGAATCGGAGGGTATGGCGCATGGAGGCGGGGGGTTTCGACATGACAGAGAGCAGAGGGAAGGATGCAAGCGAGGTGCGAGCTGAACCAAACCCTAAACCACAAACCTTAAACCCCAAAACCCATAACCCTAAGCCCCAAGCCCTAAACCCCAAAACCCTAAACCCGAAACCCTAAACCCCAAACCCCGAAACCCAAAACCCTAAACCCTAGTCGAGGCCCAAACAAGGCTCCCCCGCCCCCTCAACCCAACCAGGTGGTCAACCTGGATGGGGCCAACCAGGCCTCCTGTGGCGCTCTCAGAAAGTCATGAGTTTAGGGTTTGGGGCTTTAAGATTTGGGGTGTAGGGCTTTAGGGTTCAGGGCTTTAGGGTTTAGGGCTTGAGGGTTTAGGGCTTTAGGATTTAGGGTGTACGGCTTTAGGGTTTAGGGCTTTAGGGTTTAGTGCTCCAGAGTTTTGGGCTTTGTCGCCAACTACCCAAACTCTTCATCGCCATCAGAACCATGACGCTCACTATCACTATGACTCCTCTTATGGTTAGGCTCTCTCTCTCTCTCTCTATCTCTCTCCAAGTCAGTCAGACTCTCGCTCTCTTACTCTTTTAATTTGACTCTGTCTTTCTCTCTATCTCTCTCTTTGTATTTATATACACGTTCTTTCAATCTATCTGTCTATCTGTATATACATACATCATGTTTAGTGTGTATGGGTATAGGTATGTATGTGCACAACAAGTTGCATGTCCATAGATATTCACATTATTAACTTGCATATTGTCATGTCTGTCTGTCTGTCTGTCCGTCCGTCCGTCTGTCTGTCTGCCTGTCTGTCTGTCTGTCTGTGCATGTCTGCCTGTGTGTCTGTATGTGAGTAGGTATGTATGTACGTATGTATGTTATATCATGTTCTTTCATTCTCTACGTACATTGTGCATACATCTCTCTTCCTCTCTCTCTCTCCATATATATATATATATATATGTATACCTAAATACCTATCTATACATACATATGTATATATATATATATATATATATATATTTATATATATATATATATATATATGTATGTACATACACGCGCAACCTTAAGCACCAAACCTCCAAGTCCTCCATCCCTCAGCCTAAGCGAGGTTCGGAGATGCTCATCTCAGCCAGCAGGCGCTCTGCTTCTCAGTAGATTCGGGTGTTCATAAGTTTTGTGCAGGGTTTAGGGTTTAGGGTTTAGGGCCTTTCGTTTTGTTCAGGGTTTAAGGTGTTCTCCATAGCCGTTGCTGAGGTTCGGGCTGAGGGTACATAATTTCTCGGAACTCTTGGGGGTACCCATCTTAACTATATTAGTCTCTCGTTGTGGAGGCCAGAGTTTGGGGACTAAGGGCTTTTGGGGTTTGGGGTGTGTTGATAAAGGTTGAAGGGTTGTGGCATTGTGGGTTGTGGGTCTTAAGCGTCCGGAGTTTTGGTGTCTGTGATGTCTAGCATCGAAGGGCCTAGTTAGCGACGCGATCTCACCACATCCGCGAGCCGACCTTCAGGATTTGGGGGTGTAGGGACTCAGGGTCCAGGGGTTGAAGTTTAGGGGTTTAGGGTTTAGGGTGAACTTCAGGCACGTAATATAGCAGCCTGAATACTCAGTGAATTGCAATAGGAGACTGAAGCATACTATAGCACACCACAGCAAGTTATTGGACGGTACTATACAGTACGGTAGTGTACTACACTGTACTATACTCCACTCTGTACCAAGCTCTACAATACTGCAAAACCCGTTTCTGCTGAACTATACTTAAAACTTAGCTGCTGCATACTTTGGCATATTAACTACTATACTGTACTGTATTAATCCTAATACTCGTACTCATATTCGCATCCAATAGTTAGACCATAGCGATACCGTGCCATACCGTAAGTCACAACAGAATACCTCAGTTTACGCCGAAGCCCTATTTCACATTCTCCGGACCCATTGTGTCTAGGACCTAGAGTAGGCCCTTATTCCTGTTTTTAGGGTTCAGGTTCCCTTATACGTTCAACCAGCAAGGGCACCCCTTTTATTCTCATTTTACTCTTGGGTCTAGACTAAAGGAGCTTGGAAAACGTCAGACCCCTCCTTGCACTCTTTGAAAGGTTTAGGGCCTAAAGGGAGAGGTTCAGGGGTTTAGGGGTTGAGGTTTGAGAGTTTAGGGGTTTAGGAGTTTAGGGGAATTTGCGGTCGTCGGGCTGAGGGTTTTAGTGTTTCGGGTGGGCCTTCGTCAATTGATGGTTTTGAAGAAGAGGCGAGGACATTGTCTGATTTTGCCGGGAAGCTGTTGATTGAACCTGTGACGTAGGGTTGGGGTCTCGAAAGGGGTTTAACGATTTTTAAACGTTGTGGGTTCATTTTTTTGGATATTGGCGCTCAGACCGTGTGTCGAGCTTCAGCCGATTCTGTTTCGGTCTCGGTTTACGGTTTGGGCGACGCGGTAATACAGGCGCCGGAATGTCTGTATCTTTAAAAGCCATATTCTACTTCTGACGGCTACTGCATTGTGTACGTTTTCAGGCTGATTTTTGCACAAACTCGCCAACCAAAGAATCTGTTGCTCAGGGGCCCTTGTTTGTTTCAGACTTTAGGGTTTGGGGTGTAGGCTTTACTTGGTTTAATGTTCGTCCCCGTCTTCTAGGTTTCATCCATTTCAACTGCGTCGCTGCGAACTGAGGATATGCCCAGTTCTTCTGACCAAGCAGCGGATGAAGAGACCTCATCCGCATTGCTGCGAGGTTTGGGACCATTCCTGCTCGATTTCTTGTCCTCTCGCCGACCCCATCTGCAAGCTGTCGAAAAATCGGCACTGGCCGCAGATCTACTGGGCCAAAGTGCTTCTGTGTAAGAGGACGAGGCCGAAAGCTTGAGAGGACTGGTTGATTTTTTTGGTTGCCTCACGAGATCAGGCATTGCTTGGATACGAAAGCTCGCAGCCACCGCTCCTGCCATGATCTCTCCTTGTTGGGGGAAGAGGAACTGAACCTGATTCGGCAGTGCACGGACAAGGCCTTCTTGGTTACGACCTTAACTGTCTTAGCTGCTTTTTCAAGTTTGGGCAGGGATCTCCAGCCACATATGTTTTCTGCTTGCCTTCCAAGTGGAGTGGCCAACACCTGAATCCCAAAGCGTGTGCCCAGAAGCCCTGAAGCGAGAATCCATCTCAAGCAAAAAGGCTAAAAAGCTACTACAACCGAAACGACCACACATACCAAACCCGAACCATCCCGGCACCCCTCAAAGCCCTGAACCCCAAAAGCACGCAAGGCTTGAGCTTCAAACCCGCGCATGGAGAGCTATTCCTGCCAACTCCTGCTTCATCGTAGGACCGACGACGTCGAAGCAGCGGAGTTTGGGCCCCAGCTTCTGTTCTGTAAGTGCGGTTGGTTGTTCAGCAGGCTAAACCCACCACCCCGAGGCCCTGAGCCCTCTGCCCCGAGCTGCTGCTCCTTCCAGCCCCTTGAATGTCCGCAAGGGAGTATTTCGGATGGAGTGGAAATCTGCGCGGTGGAGTACTTTTGGAGGGGACTACACTAGGATGGTGTGTGGTCGTTGTTATGACTCCATGGAGATGCGCTCCGCTTGCTCAGCAGCTTAAGCCCGAAACCCTTGCATTTCAAGTTGCAGGGCCTTAGGTTTAGCCCTGTCCGGTGACTGAGAATCGGGTGAAAGAGTGTTCGAGCCGGCAGGCCTAAATCCACAAAGGAAAGCAGCAAGAGCCGAAGTTTTGTAAAGCCCAGCAGCTTGAATCCTACCTTAACCCTGAAGAACCTGCCTTTTCAGGTGATTTTCTTATATAAGTCCTTAAGAAGGTAGGTTCTTCAAAGGTAAACCTCGATATTTTAGGAACGTTCATGGGGAAATTATACTTCATCTGCCACTCTCGTGCTTCTGATTGTAAACTGTAACCACACCAGAAAAGGTCGTTGGTTCAGGGTCTTACATAAGGGAGATCGTGTTTTATGTAGTGATGTAGTACTGCAACACCCACGTTTAAGTTATCTGTCTGAGTGTTTGGCATCTCATGTCTTCTGGGTTGGTTAAACCCCAAACTCTCCAAGCCTGAACCCCAAAACCCTAAACCCTAAAATCGCTAAAACCCTAAACCCTAAAACCCCAAACCCTAAAGCCCTAAACCCTAAAACCCTAAACCCTAAACCCCTAAACCCAAAACCCTAAACCCCTAAACCCTAAACCCTTTAGAAAACCCACAGGTTCTGGCTCAACAAGTGCCGGAAGCTCAAGCTGCAACCGACGCCGGAGGCCTCGGAGCCGAATTTCATCCTTTCCTTAACCCCAACCCAAAGGGTCCTTTGTACTGTTATGGGGGATACTTCCCTAAGTCATAATAGTATTTCCTAATATGGAAACGCTGCATTCTACTATATCGGTACATAGGACCCTTTGGGCAAGGGTCCAAAGGACCCAAGAATTAGTTATACAGGTTAGGATTCTGGAGAGTATATGATTATTGGGTACTTGGACCCTTGGGGTAACCCTGAAGGACCTGCCTTTTCAAGGACTTATATAAGGAAGTCATAATCGGGAACCCTAAAACGGTAGGTTCTTCTTCAGGGCTCAGGGTTTAGGGTTTAGAAGTTCAGGGGTTCAGGGGTTTAGGGTCTAGAAGTTTAGGGGTTCAGGGGTTTAGGGGTTTAGGGGTTTAGGGTTCAGGGCTTAGGATGTGGGATGTAGGGTCTACAGGGGCTCGTGTTAGAGAAGTAGATTGAAGTAGGGTTTAGGGCGTAGTGTTCGAAGACAGTAAAGTTGAAGTCGATTTGCATGTGGTGGAATGCTTTGGTGGTGGTGAAGTGTCAACATTCTCTGAGATTTCTGTGGCTAGCGTTTGGTTGCAGGTGTATTCTCGTCGACTAGGAAGACACAGGTGTTTCCCTTCGTCGTCCTATGGCGCGTGCACGTTGGCCTCGGCGGCTACTTCTGCTTGTGCTGGCCACGGTACCTACCTTCTGGATGAAGAACAAAGCTCCCAGTTTTGCGGCGACCTCGGGGGCGAGCCCCGGGCCTTCGACAGGCTCTTGCGCAAGGAGGCGGACACACTTTTCGTGGAGCGCATTGTCAGGTGACTTCCCAGGAACGAGCACAGCGGCGTGCTGGAACTGGGCTTTGGTGCTGGGAGGGAGGCCCTTGAGTTGCGCAGGAGGGCGCCCTGGGTGGAGATATCCGCCTTGGACAGACCGCTGGAAGATGGCTTCAGCTCTGATCAGGTCAGGGATTTGCTGGACAAGCCGGCCAAATCTGCAAACTCACTGCCACCATCTGGAATTCGAGTGTTTGGGGCAGAGCTGACCAAGCACAACATTGATATCATTGCTCACACATTGCCTGCGCCACTTCCATTTCCAGACAGCTCCTTCGACGTGGTGTTCTCAAGGTTCTCCCTATACTACTTCCAGGAGCAGGCCCTCACCAAGGTACTGGCAGACATCCGCAGAGTCCTCCGTCCAGAAGGAAGCTTGGTGTTCATGATAAAGACCAAGGAAAATCTCGACCAACCAACAGGCAAGGTCTTGTATCCCGTTGAAAAGTGGCTGCAGCTCTTGGTTAACGCAGGCTTCAATGTAGCCATTAAGGAGCGCGAGACCCGCCCCGAAGCAAAGGATGCAGGTGAGCCTTGGATTTTCGAGGCCCAGAGGGAGGAAGCGAGAGGTGACACCTCGTCCACCTGAGCCTGTCTGGAAGTCTTGGCGCTGCGTGGTACGTAGTTTGTCTTGACATCCGGCAGCAAGCATTTAGCAACTCCACAAGTCACGTGAAAGCGCCTGCACGTGACCCGGCGCTGGCTACGGAGGTCAGCACAGTTTTGACAACCTTCTGTCCCAAGCATGACGAAACGATCTCTGAGAAAATTCCATGAGTCGAGCTTGCACCTGTAGCCAGAGCATGTGTGTGAAAGCGATATACATTTGGTGTAGCATGTATGATCATGTATACTGGACCGTTTATAGCTACAGTACTGCACGGACATATCTACTCCTTTAGCATGCAGTGCACAACGACCAACATATTATTGTGCAGTATTGCTGCTACTATTGCTTGTAATTACTCTTGAAATTATGGTCCAGATGTATGCCTATGACTACCCCAGTGGCTATTCTCAGTGCTTGCAGAAATGTTCGGTACCGTTTCGAATCTTGGTTGCAACGAAAAATCTGCTACACAGCATCACAAAGTTTCTTGCATTGCAGTGATTATTTGGGGGATCCCTTGCAGGAGGTTCTGGGGTTTAGGGGTTCCTGGGCTACGGGGTCTATATGGGTAGTTCTCTGAATTACGGTCCCTTTGGGGGTCCTGTTTATATGAGTGCTGCACAATGTTGGGACCTTAGTTTAGAGAACTACCCATATGGAGGGTTCTCCATCAGGCAACAACCGCAAAAACTTGGGCCGCTGGACCACAATGTGTTCAACCTGCCAGGGATCTGGCTCTTTCAGGCATAGTAACCCTAAGCACCAAGCCCTTAATTCTAAACCGTAGAAAGCCCCGGCCGAAACCGGAAACTCACAAAACAGCATTCCCCGAAACCCCGAAAGCCACAACACCCAGAATTCCCAGAGCCCCAAACGCAAGTTTTGAACGCCCTCGAGCCGCCTTGACAACTCAAATTCAAGCAAGAGCAGCTCCAACAGTCGAAGGTGTTGACTGTAACCCTGAATAACCTACCTTTCTAAGGACATATATAATGAAATCATAGTAGGGAACCCAAAATAGGTAGGTTCCTCAAGGTTCAGGCAGGGTCAGAGTTCAGGGGGCTCGGGTTTTTTTACGGGTTTAGGGGCTTAGGTTCGGGGGGTAACGGGCCTAATCCCAAGCCACGCCTTCTGGGAAGGCCTTCCATGCCTTGATCGATTTGACCACCAGGCCATGGCATGCCTTCTACAGTTTCGGTCACGTCTGGATATGTATTCTCGAGTTGTCAAAAGTTTTCGGAAGATTCCAAACAAGACGAATTGGCGCGCTATCGCTTTGGTCCAGGGTCTTGCGTGTTGGTTTCAGGGTGTACCTGGTTTCGGATGTCGGGTTGTGGTATGGCCAACGGTTCTAACGTTTGTTCGAGTTTTTCTACTACTGAATGATTTATTGTAGTTCCGCGTGCCAACTTTGGGACTAGATTTTTCGGTTTCTCTTCGAGTACTCTATTACTGTAAATAGTCGATTTCTTGGAGAGGTACCGGTTATCCCGAAGTCCCAGAGCTTTTAGTTTATTGCTTGCATGATCCCACATGTTCTGCTTCGGTAACCGAAAGGGGTTTCCTAAAGACTATCAAAGCTCCTAGACTGTAAACGCCCCTAAGTACACCCGAAGCACAAAACTCAGACAAAACCTTTATAGAGAACCAAATGCAACCGTGGATATCCCACAAGGAATGTCAAACACCATAAAATCTAAGACCCTGAGCCCGAAATTCCTGTCCAACCCGTCTAGTATAGATTCAGGACCCCTTAACCTTAACCCCGAAAAGCACCCCAAAAGGCAGTCTAGTATAGATTCAGGACCCCTTAACTTTAACCCGGAAAAGCACCCCAAAAGGCAGTCTTCCAATCCTAGACGCAAAACTCCTATATAAACCGGCAGAAGAACAGAGCCGAAAGGTAGCAAAAGATCCCGTGACGATCCTGTCAGCGAGAAGCGTGGAAGGACACGACCCCATGAGGAACCCAGAGACTCTAATATCCCTTAATTAAGGAATATACCTTAAAGTATAGTAGGATCCATAATATGGTTTAAGGAATATTCCTTAAATCATATTATGGATCCGACTATAATTTAAGGTATATTCCTTAATTAAGGGGTATTGGAGTCTCTGGGAAGCGCCTCCAGAGCCGGCGGCGCAAGCGAAGCGCCCAAGGCAAAGGCAAGAGCACGATGTGGGGGTTTCCAATTACTAGGGGTACCAAATTTGGGGGTCCTTATAATAAGGATCCTATTATTTAGGGTACCATATTGGGGTCCCCTGTTTTCGGAAACTCCCATGTTGACGTCGTGCAGATGGGCAACAGACGCATGCTGCGTTGCAAGCATGAGGACTGCTTCCTAGTGTCCAATGCAAAGCATCGCCACAAGTACCCAGAGACTCCAATACCCCTTAATTCAGGAATATTCCTTAAATCATATTAAGGACGATTTAAGGAATATTCCTTAATTAAGGGATATTGGAGTCTCTGGGTATGCTTCCGGCGGCCTTTTCTTCGGCTGCCCGATTGCGAAGAGAGCCTCGAGATCCAGCCCCAGCCACGGACATGCGTCGAGCGCTTAACAGTTTAAACGGGTTTGGGGTTTAGGGGTTTAGGGTTTACTGGTTTAGGGTTGAGGGTTTAGGGGTGTAGGGGTTTTAAAGTTTAAGGTGCCGGTTTAAGGGTTTAAGGAATGAGGTCCAGGCTTGAGGTATGTAGTCCAGAGTTTGACGTGCAAGGCTTCACAAGGTTTGGGATTCAATTTGGGCTTAGGGTGTTGGTTAAAAAGGTTTAGGATTTTGGCCTCCGAATTTCTGCTGTCAGTTGCCCCCGGTTGGTGTAGGGCCTGCGTTGCAAGGGTCAATCAGGGTTCAGACTTCACCCAAAACCACAAAAACCCCTAAACCCTAAACTCCTAAAGGAGCCCTATAACAAATATACCCAATTACCCACTATTAAGGGTCGTAAGGACTTGAACAAAGGGCCCTTGGGGAGCCCTGAAAGGAAGTCTTCCTTGGTCACGGCGGAGCGGGTGGCGCAAGAAGCTAGGGCTTCTGATGTGGAGCTCTCACGGTGCGGGGGCCTGCGGGGGGGTGTTTGGTCTTGGGGTCTGCGGGGGTTTTAGGGTTAAGAGTTTAGAGTTTAATTAAGGTTTAGGGTTTCATTGGGGTTAATTAAGGGTTTAGGGTTTGGGGATCAAAGTGGGTTCTAGGGTTTAGGGTTTGAGGGTTTAGGGTGTATGGTTCAGGGCTTCAGGGTTTGGGGTTTCAGGGTTCAGGTTTTAGGGGTTAGGGTTTCGGGAGCCGTTAGGATATAACAAAAAGGGGCCGTGATGATTCCCTATACTATTATAGTATGATTGGCCCCCAAAGCCCTAGTCTAATTAAGGCCCCCCCAAATTAGGGTTCTTTGGTAAAGGGCTTGAGAGTTGGGAGCTTGGGGTGTAGAGTGCAGGGCCTGGTGTCTGTGAGACATTCTTTATGACATTGATTGAGGCTTCAGAATTCAGAGTTTTGAAGTGTCTTTAGGAGGGTTGTGTCTTCTGGAGCGTTTGAAGTTTTTGTTTAGGGGTTCCAATGGATTTTGGGGTGAAGAGGAATCACGGGCAATACGCTCACCTGTGAGACGGTAGGTTCTAGTCCACCCGTAATCATGCGCGACCGTATAGCTGATACCCTGTACCCGAACCCATGAAACTAAACCCGAAACCCTGAGCCCTAAAACAGAACCTGATCCCTGCACCGCAACTCGCTCAAGCAGCATCCTCTCAAGTCTTGCTAGATTCCAAGTGGTACTGCAGCCCACCATTGGACCATGGCAGCAGACGAGCTGCGTGTGATGATCAGCACTTCAACCTTTCTGGGGTACTATAATCCCAATAGAACCCCAATATGATTCCAATACAATCACTATATAATCCCTGTAAATAAGATCCCAATATAATTAGTTATAAAGGTTAACCTTGAGTTCGCCAGAATACGGTTGATGGTATAAATCCTACATTACCCATCAAAAGGAACATACCATAATTCCCATGGTTTGGGACTCTTCGGGCAATGCAGCATGTATATCATCAACAGTACTGGACAAGGAGGTTGCCTGGGAGGGAGGGAGCCTGCGGAGGAGAAGGCACTCTAGCTGCTTCTCCGCGGCAAGAAAGGGGAGTTTCCGAAAATGCGGGGTACCTTATTTAGGGGTTCCTGCTATTTAGGGTACTATTTTAGAGTCCCCCATAATCGGAAACTCCCAAAGAAGATAGAGAAACGGCCAGGAGGGCGCCAAGCGGTTGCAACAGATCCGTATGCTCCAACAATGGCGGATCCGCCTGGTGTGGACCACCTCCAAGTGGTCTGTTCTCTCCCTAAGGCTCCATGTAGCCATGTAGTATATGCTTAGGCCTTAAAGGGGTCCCTATATAGGTACTTTGAAGCGTAAATGTATACCGTATACCATATGGCTACATGGAGCCTTAGGGTCTGTCCTCTTAAGACGACACCGAGGCTGCAGTCGGGAGAGGACCCATAACAGTGGAACGGCATCTAACGGTTGATGGTATAAATCCTGCATCACCTTACTTGGAGGGTCGGGGGACTTAGTAACTGGTTGTTTTGGGGACTTATAAGCACCATAACCCCAATTAGGGTCCCTTTTAGGGTACTTATAAGTCTACTTACTAACTACTTACTAAGTCCCCTGACCCCCCAAGTAAGGACCCTGAACTATGGGAATTATGGTATATTCCTTATTATGGGTCATGCAGGATTTATATAATCAACCGAAGGACGTTTGATTCCTTCGTGTTGCGCTTTGCGCTGACCGAATAGCTTTCACTTAGCTCCGAAGCCCTCAACGCTACACTAGTGCTAATTAAACGCTTAATTTGGGGCCTTAATAGTTAAAACAGGGTTTGCGGCCCACTATATACCATAAGTATTACAATAGGGAACCCCCCAAAAAAGCAAATGGTAACTGCAATTATGAACGCCCCTATATA